AACTTTTTTATTCTTCATATATTCTTTAAAGATACTTTTGTCTGCAATATTATACTTAAAAAAAATTCACGGACAATATTTCTTGGATAATTTATTATTGTTACAGGTTATCATAAGTGAAAAACACTGCATTTTGCCATTATTTTACTTATAACAAGTAAAAAATTGAAAAAAAAAAACATTAACACGTCAGAATGGTTTCTAATTAATTGATATATTTTATAGATGCAACAAATATATATATATATATCATAATATTCCATCAAAAATATCTTGCAATTTCTTATCAACAATATGAAGTAGAAGTACCTTATCACAAAATACAACAAAAGTTGATATGCAATCTTCCCTATCACTAAATAATCAAGCATTTTTTTAAATCTATTTTTTTCACCAATACATCCTTTCTTTTCATTAATTCATCATATTTTTGTTCCCTTCCAAAAAATATTATTCTAATTTACTTCATTCATGTTAAACAATTGCTATTATCATTACATTATTATGGTTTATCTAACACTGCACCCATTTACAAACAAACATCAAACCTGTCGTCAAATAATACACAGAAATATTTTGAAATTTTTATGTAGAACAGTAAACTTTCCAGATATCAATGACGCACTAATTTGCACAACTAAATATTTTATATCTTACATATTTGAAAGGAAAATTTTAAAATTCACCTGAAAGCTTTTATCAAAATATTTGAATATCCTAGCCAAAATTAATTTATAGAAAAAAATACAAAAAAAAAAGTTTAGTGATTAATAGTAAATTGAAATATAATATTTATTTTGCGATCTGACATGACCCCTCAGTTTTAGTGAACTGATAAAGCGTTCGGTTGAAAAAATGAAAATGTTTTCGTGCTAACAAAATGAGATGCTATCGTTTAAATCTCACTGAAAGCGACGTTACTTTATTACATAATAATTTGTAAAATTACAAATATCCAGTAAATTACACATAATGTCAGTTAGAATCTATTTTGATAAGGCTTCACTACTGATTGATATTACTGGTAGCTAGAATATTTACTAAAATGATAAGATGTTAATGATTTCACTACCATTGCATGTTCTCTTTGTTCAATAAATCATTTTTTTTTTAATATGAATTCATATTTTAAAATAATAATGTCGGCAATATTCTTTTCATGTGAATAGAAAATAGAGGCTTGAAAATCTCTTCATATAATAGAGCCGATAGAATAATTAGGCAATGCTAACATAAAAAGGAACAACAATGCCCCTAAAATTCGTGAAAACTGAAATGTTAGCATGCTACAACTGAACCGTCCAAAATTTCACCGGATTAATATGCCAGTTTACCGACACGGTATTATGTTTGTTATCTTTAATCACAATAATCATCGGAAAATCATGCACTGAATAATTATATTATAAAAGAATTTGTGTAATGACTACAGTATATACTTATTGGATAAAAAAATTTTACTACGACAGTAATTTCTAGAGAAGAAAAGGATGTATGTGACGCAATAAACAGATGATATAAATTCGTTCAGCAACAGTAAGGGTACTATTATATGGGAAATTTTTGAACACAAAGAAATACCTCAAAATAATGGAAAAAAATGTAGCAGTTTCAAGAATTTTTAAAAAAAGACAAAATTACCTGAAGGCAAAAGAGAAATATTTATGCATAATGAAGAAATTAATAAAAAAAACAGATTATTACTGAACTACTTAATTATCTTATAACCAGGACAGAAAAAAATTTTGGAGAATTAAAAGATATTTCTACTTTGACCATCAATAAGTATGAAAGAAGGTTAAAATTTAAAATCTCACCTGAAAATTGATTTTATAAATTCGCGTATCACACTTGACTGACGCTACTGTTTCCAAAAGGTTTAAAAAAATACTAGAAGAAGTAAAGAAGCATAAAAATCTAGAAAAATATTAATTATCCGCGACGACATATCAGGACAAACAATAACTAATATCAGTACTTAATAACTAGTATAAATACCGACGCATATTCACCAAATTTGCAAATTTCAATAATTTAATGAAATAAATTATATTCAATAATTATTCTAAAGCTAAACTGAAATGAATTAAAATCACAGTCAAACAAAAATTGCAAAAATCTCATGCCATCACATTCGAGAATGGAAGTTCGCATCAATTTTCCACAACCTCTTGATAACAAAAGCTGACAAATTTTGATCGCGCCCTGAAAGTTGCCGTTGCAACATTAAATTTTCGGTTACTAACACTATTTTTTATGCTATTACAAACAAAATAAAAAATAAAATTATTTGCTCCTCAACAACTTTCTATTTCATTAGAAACGATGTCTTCCATTCTCTTTGAGGAAACAGAATAAAACTGCTCTTTTCCTACTTTCCAAAATATTAGAACTCTGCAAAAAATTAATAGCATAAAAAATGGAATAATAAGTTATGAAAAACAAAAAAGAAAATACGATAATTAAAGAAAAAAACATAAGCCTTCAAAGAGATTTAAATAAGTAGCTAATAACAGCTCAATATGAAAAAAGAAACGTTTTTATTTAGATTGATCTAACTTTCTCTACTAATCAATAAAAGTATTTCCAAAACTGATTACAACGAAACGAAGTGCAAACAAGCCAAAACAATAGAAAATAAGTACACATAAATCAGTAATTCGAAAAATATATTTATAATTTCGCTTTCTTTCTTTTTCGCATTCCGAAAAATATAACATAATTCAATAATCTTAACGATAAACCTTTCTAAAAAGTTTATTTTAATTGAAAGTATTTCATATTTTGATTTCTCAGCTTTAATTTTTTCTTAATTTTTAATTCCTAAAATTCTAAAACAAAATATAAATGTACATTCACGATTAATGCCCGGCGACAACTAAATTCATTTATACAACCTAGAAGATCGCGGAATTCTCAAGCACGTTTCGATGGTCGATGTCCTTTCACTACTGTTGGTTTTCCTTGCACAATACCTTTCTTTGACTTATCCTGAAAATTATAATATATATGCCGAAAGCTTAATAATTTAAAATGAATAAAATTAATCACAGATTAACAGAGCACTGCTTGCACAAGTAATAAAATTTAAAATTATAACAACAAAAAGCAGCAAATATAAGTATTTTCATCTTCCATCAAAAATTTTAATGGAGTAAACAAATGATGTATGATGCACTTAGAAAACAAGATACACTTAAATTTTCAATCACTTTAAAATTTAAAAAAATCGAGATATTTAAAAAAGATATTTCATACTTTCTTTGAGTAGGAATGTAACACTGGTCGTTTCCTCCTATTCTTATTTAGAATCACCGGTCTATTCTTCTGCTTCAGTACTTTGTAAATTCTCACAAGCCAGTTTTGTGATGTGTAGGCTTCTTCCAAGTGCTCCAGTACAATATTTTTCCGACCAATTACATATCCACGGGTTCGATCGTAACCTGTCTGCTGCCGATAACCTATCTGAAGTATCATCTCGTTCGAAAATTAAAAAATAATAGAATTTCAAATTAAAAAGTCAAACAACACTTTTCAGTCACTAACTATATACTTCTTAAATTTATCGATGGTTCAAAAAAATACAGCTAAGTTCTTCAGCCAGCTGAACAGCTTGGCTATGTTTTTCCAGTCTTATTGACGGATGCCGAGAGAATCTATTTCAATACACCTATTACTGTTACACTGCATCCCAATAAAATACTGATTTGATTTCCTGATTTTTTAGGGATTCTCGGAACATTTACCTCAAAATCTCCGAAACGATAATAACTTATTTTGTACATTACAGAATTCAACATCGTTTCTGAAGCATCTGCTCCAACACTATAATCACCCGACTCCGTGAAATAATCTGCTTCATGTATCTCTTTTGGATGTTCACCTTCAGCTATTCGTACCATCCATAAAAACTTATTAATATCATCGCCTGAAGAATCCAAACTATCTCGAAAGTCAGCACATAATTTTTAAACATCACTCAATGGGGATTTTTTTTAAACGGCACAAGGCAAACAGATTTTAAGTTTAAAACTTTTGCAAAAAAATTTTTAAAAGAAATATTTCTTGAAAATTTTCTTTTTTCATTTGTCATATATTTTAAAAACAGGAATTAGAAGAGATAACTCAAATTTATCCGTAAGATACTCCTTACATTAAATCTAATGAAATGAGTAACCAACCCGAATAACCAATAACGCCGCCAAAAATAACCAATACATAGTCAACATCCAATGCGTGCATGATTTCATACGCTACTGACTCATTCGATGCCATCGCTTTTCCAACCTAAAAATGATCATCCTAATTCTCAGTGACTTCTTTAAAAGTAAAACAACTTCAAAACAGCAGATAGTGTAGATTGGAGTCGCATTTAAAATTCATAAAAATACAACTCTCTTCAAAAAACAAGAATACCAACTGATTTATTATTGAATACTGAATGATCTTTTTGATTTAGTTATATGGAATTCAATTTTTTGCTATAGCCTTTCTGGAAGTTTTACTCATCAACATCGATACTAAAGAAATAAAAAAAAAAAAGTAAAATTCAATTACTAGAGCTATATGCGAGTTATTCCATGTATTGTTGTCCACTAAGGTGGTACGATTTGCCATTCCAGCTATTTGATAGCCATAATCCCACCAACTCATTACACGAGCACTCTCTTCCGTATTTTTTCGCAGCCAATAATAGGCTTCACGAAAATCGTCCATTATTTCACGGTTCCTGCAATAAGCACAGGACTACTTTTTTTTTTAATAGCAAAATTATTCGAGGAGAAAATAACTAAAATGACATTTAAATTGTTAATCATCTTTTAAAATCTTTTAAATTCTTTAATCACTGCTATGTAATTTCATCGTTCATCACTAAATATTGAAATATCCTACTGACAGTCATGTATCATATACCTACCCTTTAGAATTATGTGACTGCAAGACAACAGATGGATGAGAATATGCATTACTCGTGACATATGTAGAATGCACGACAAACATTAGTAGCATAAGAACGAGCACCACTGAAACGATAGATCGCGCATTCATTCCGATAGACACTTCACCACTTTCTGGTACTGCTTGATTCGTCCATGAACCACTTTTCCGCCCTTTTCCAACCTTATCGTATAAATGTTTGTTTTCTTCTTCGTTGTTAACACTGAAACAGTCCCTTATCTTACTGAGTTCATTTTTCATTACCCACTTATATTGCTTGGATATATATTAGTGAAATAGAACGGCGTTCAAGACTAAATTTTGCAGTTTGCAATGATATGCCTCATTCCATATTTCAGTATTCTCTGAAGTATATATTTTCGTTACCTACAAAGATACAGTATTCTGAATAGGAAAAAAAACAGGTAAAACACACATTTATAGAAACCTTTCCTTTTTAAAAAAAAGCTATCAATGTAGAAACTGCATGCTTTATGCCTGCTTTTCCCATCGTAATTATTCTCATTCCATAGGCTTTTTTGCAGCTTTACATCTGTCAAAATATTATCGTAGTATATTTAATAAATAAAATTAGCAATATAGAAAAACAACAGCAAATCAGTAAAAATGAACCTTTTTGATTGATCAACCTCATCGATCAGATACCTTTCATACGTATACGAAAAAGCTATTCCAGAAAGTATGCAGACAACCGGAGTAAGAGTAAGCATTAAGCGAACCATTACACCAGCAAAATAAACAGCCGTTACTGCATAAAGTATCACTGAAAAATAAAACTACGAATTCTTCATTATTGCCAAAAACGAAGAGCAAAAAGAAAAAAAAAAAGAAATACGCTTTAACTTTTTACATTGACATAACCTAGAACTTGAAAACCTTGCAAATACAACAATAATATCTAGAAAGTTGAAATAAGAAAGAAATGAAAACCTCCTATTGCCGAAAGCAGCTATGTTCAATAGAGCAATCGAAATCTCGAAAAATATCAAAAGCTTACCGAAAACTCGTTCATCATTAACATTTTTAACACAATACCATAAACCAACTGGAAAAACTGCAGCTGTGATATGCAAATCGAAGAAAAATGAAACCCAAGTAGTGGGCTGATGTTCCGAAACAGATGCAATAATTGGTATATGAATTTTTGCATAACCAGTATCCCACAGTGAATAAAAACGTCCCGACCACGGTGCTATATAGCCTGCAAACATAGCTTAATGAATGAATATTTTCAAAGTGCACGCATAAGAAGAGCACTTTAAAAAGGTGAACAAAGTTCCTCAAAAATATAAATAATTAAATCGAAAATTGTGAAAAGTCAAAAATTGAAGTCATACCAGCATATGTTAAGAGAATAATCATAGATATTCCCAATATAAGTACCAAGGAAACTCCACCGAAAAATAACGTCATGAATTCTTTCCTTGAAACTCGATGTTGCATATACTTTAACGCGGCAATAACCTACAAAAACAGAACACAGTAACATTATCTTAAACATCATTTCAGAAATCTCGAAGATTTCAAATTCGAATAATGATTGGAATAGAAAGTACATGAAATTTACTAACCTGTAGCAAACCAAAGATACCAGCAGCAGCCATATGTTCGGAAGTTTTCACGGGCTGAAAGCCCACAAATGGTATTTGCATTGCCATTATTTGTCCCAAAATATAGAAAGTCGTATATGCTAAAATATGAAAACCGTAAAATTAAATTAAAATACATTCCAAAAGATTATGAAGGTTACGAGCAGCCATGTGTACTATGACGATAAAACTTGAGCGCAAAGGAATACAACTTTACCGAAGAAGACATAGAAATACTTCACTTATCAGAATAAGACCAAAGAATGAATAATGTTGACGATATTAACCGTATATTAGAGAAATTTCAAAAAAAAAAGATTGAAATTATAAGTGTAAGTGATCAACTGAATTGCAAATTTGAAAAATAAAAAAAAATCTTACCAATGTAAAGCTTAGAACAATATCGGCCAATTAATATGAGTGTAAGAACATGCAATGGAATCAAATTTATGATAAACACATAACCTCCCCAAGCAGAAACCATATAAAAATATGATAATGCAGTTAATGTTGCCCAAAATACGGAACCAGTTTTCACAGAACGAACCCATAAGAAATAAGTGAACTGAAACAAAAAAACAGATTGTTAAGCCATCACTTCACAAATTTCCGAATTCAAATATGGATAAATTTAAATTTACATTAAAAGGAAAGATAAAGATCTAGGAGCAAAAAATAGGAAATAAAAATTTTTAAAGAAAAAAGAAAATTTTTAACAAAAATGAGAAATTCCACAAATCTAATTTACATTTTCGAATACATATGCAGATAAATAGATGTACCTGTAATGCAAAAATTGCAATTCCTTCATTATCATAGGAACCGGCAACTGAACGACTGGTATAGCCGGGTGAAATAGCGATAAAGCATGCTGCAAACAGACCAGCACCTGGTGACCAAAGTTCCTTCGTTAAAAAATATGTAGCAATTGCTGTGAGACCACTGGAAATAATTTGATTAAACTACCACGACCATAAAATTTCATGTCGGCATTCATGTTAAAAAACGCATTAGAAAAATGTCCCATTTAAAAACTATGGAGGAAAAAATGAAAAAAACAGAAAAGTGAAGTCAGTCCACAATATCAAAGTCATTTCTGAAGTACATTAAAAATGAAAATTGCGAATTTTTGAAAAAATCATTGGGAAATAAACTATGTTCAGAAATAGTTACAAACATTAAAAAGATAAATAATAAAAGCACACCTGAATGTTGGAGCCAAAAAAACACAAACATCTCTGATATGTACGGAAATATTTAAAACTGATAAAATGTAATGTATTGCTCCTGAGGTTACCATAAGTCCAGGGTAAACCTGTGTTAACATTATTATTTTTTCGCAAAAACAAGAAAATGGAGAAAAAAGTTATTTGGGAAAATCGAAGAATTTTATTTCCTAATATGATGACATATCGATTATTATTTCAGTTTTTCGTTGCACACTAAATGAATTAAGTAACTAACTAATTAACTAACTAAATGGATTATGAATATCTATTATTATTTTTAATCTACTCTTATTTCAATTTTCGTTGCAATAATGATATTTATAATCTGTTATTAGTTCAATTTTTTAAACTATTATTTTAATTTTCGTCGAAATAATAATAGATTATATGAGTTGAAAAGAAATTAAAATCTAAAGATGCTATTTATTATATTAACACAAATTATATGAACACTTATGTTCATATGTTATATTAATATAAATTATATGAACTATTGGCACACATATTGATCTGTCTATCCGTATTTCTAATAATTCCTACCAATAAACAGATTTATGGAGAGTAATACACCCTTGGAAAACATTATATAAATAGAAAAGTCATAACAACAAAGAACAAAAGCGCTGGCATACAAATGAAAAAGTCATAGCTACATGAAATATTTAAATACGTATCGATTATTTCAAAACATTTTCTTTTGTTCAAAAAAGAGCTAAAAACTTACTGTGCCTCCAACGATTCGTCCAAGCGGATACCATGATTGATCATCAAACCAATTTAAGAAATCATAAAAGCCATGTTCAACCATATGGCGTGTTGATCGATAGTTAAACCTGATATTCAACAAAAATATTATTATATATACATAATTAAACTTCGTTTAAGAAATTTTTTTCTAAACAGCATTTTAAAATGCTCCTTCAAGGTAAAACTTTTAATAGCATTTTATAGAAGAGCAAAATACGTCTTATCAAACTCTCACTTAAACCGTAATATGTGATAATGTTTTCTTAATTTGTAACAAATCAAGAATATATCTTAAATAATTACAGTCCATCTTTTCTTGCAGTTATAACTGGAATGAAAAAATAATTTCCGGAATTGACTCGTCAGATATCCATTACTTAGAAAAATAGCGAAAAAAAAGAAAGAAAAATAAGAAAGGATAAGAACGAACCATGGATCGAATTCATGGATAATAGATTCAAATCGAATAACTGCAAATAATCGTGAAGCAAAGCCAACAATCCATGCTAATACAAGGATGATAAATGTCAATAAGCTTGTGATACCCAGCGAATTCGATGCTAACATTTTATTGCTTTCAGTTGAACCGGTTGAAGTTAACAATGAATGATCGTTCATATGCTAAAATTACAACATTAAAATTTTCAATTTATATCAAAATTCTCGCACAAGTCCCCATCCTAGGATGTAATGTAATCCTCACGTAACATTTTACGTTTTAAAAAAAGCATTCAAAAACATTCCGTAACATCCGAACACATAGCAATCTGACGGTATGCGCACGTTATATGAAGTGCGGACCGCAATAACATTGATTTGTTCGCGTGCGTTACGAAAAACAAAAATCTCAACAGTGCTATGTATCTGTTTGTCTGTATGCTATGCCGTAGTAAATTCGTATCGTTTACAACCTGATTCGTTTATCAGTATTATGAACCGGAAAACTTGCATATACCACATGCAGTAGTTTTTAACAGGATCCAGTTTATTGCTGATTTGCTTGGTCTCCTGGCAAATTCGCATCATTCGCAACCGAATCCGCTTACATGCATACGTTGTTGCATCATTCACAACCGGATTCGTCCACATACATATGCTACATTATTCGCAACCGGATCCGTTTACGTATGTCGTTATATTTTGCAACCGGATCCATTTACGTACATATGTTACACCATTTGTAGCCGGATCCGTCTACTTTCATTGTTCCGTCCGCTTATATATATACATATGCATTTGTTATGGAAAACTTGCACACCATTAATTAATTACTTTTATTGCACATATTGAATATTTATTATAAAAGTGACGGAGGTACTTAGCAACGGATCCGTTAATGTTAAGTTAAAATTTTTCATTTTATCTGAAAGATAGTTAAAATTAAAGAAATGTTTTTAAATCAACACTCAACAAACAGGTAAGTGTTATTTTTGAAATTTGCAATATTTAAAAACTAATGAAATGAGAAATTAAAAATTTGCATTTTAAATGGAATATATAATAAGCATGTGAAGAAATGCAACAAACTGTAATTAACTTTATTCAACATATTAAAATTTTCCAACTGAATAATTAAAATATTAAATGAAAAGTGATGAAATGAGAAAATGTTTCGATAATGGGAAAAAAAGTTTTCGAAATTAGCTCTTAAATTGATGATATTCAAAGTATGCGAAATTTTTCATTTAAAAAAAAAATCCTCACTGATTTATTGAAACTGGATGCTTTGACAAAATAATAATTGGTTAAGATTTAAATTTCGATTTAAATTTAAGTATTATCATTTTACATAATGTTACTTTTTCAGTTGATTTTTACCGTTTTAATAAATTGTTTTTAACAAATATATTTGTATGCTTGAATTTAAAACCCGTACCATCCATACAACGATGAAATTAAAAGCATTTCGAAATTGTCAGTAACATAATTTAGTATGAAATGAATGTGCATGTTTTGTGTAATTCTGGACGATTGTTTAATTGGCAAAATTGCTTTTTCTCGAAGGAATCATTTCCATCCAACAATTTTTTTTTAAAACTAATTTGTTTTTAAAAAAAAAAAAAAACTAATGAAATGAGAAATTAAAAATTTGCATTGTAAATAATTCTAAAAAATATTATAAATTAGAGAAAATGTGTGAGTGCGTAATCAGAGATGAATTGAACTAATTAAGATTAATTAAGATATTATTTCTTAATTTTCACGGAGATAAAAATTAACGAAACACCAGGCAAACTTAAACTCGAATTCAAAAATAATTAATCAAATAAATATCATATATTATAAATGTTCATAGTCAAAATCTATAAATCATTTAGAGTTAATAAAAATATCTTATAAAAAGATTTTATTGCTCATGTAAAAGTGAATCACGAATTTTTTTTAAAAAAACTTTTTCGCTTAAATGACATAATCGTTATCATCTTTTAAGAAATTGATTAAATATTTGCCGCCGACATATATATATATATATATATATTTGGTTTATGAAATTTTTCATATATTATTATTGTTAATTTCCTTTGAATTTCTTTCTTACTTCTTTGAAATTGGAAAACGAATTGATTTTTTTCTCCTTAATGTTATGCATAAAGTGGTACAGTAAAATAATCTCAGGGACCTAAGGTACGGTAAAGGTAAGAAAATTTGTCTTTATTTCTGAAGTTTTAATTTAGGATTTTGTTTTGTTTATTTTTGATTACATTGAATATTTGGTTCTAATTGCTTTTTTATTTTACTTTTTCTTTCATTTTGCTTTTTTTTTACTTTAATGAAACGTTCTTGGACAGATTTCACTGTATTAGAGAGCCAAATAAGATAAGCCGTTGTGCTTTTCTTTCAGGCACTTTCTACTGAGCTAAAGCTGTTGAAGAAAGAAAAAGAAAAAACAAAAGCATCGTTTTTCTTCCTAACTATGTTTTAGATTTATACTTATTTATGCCCCTGTTTTGATAATTTTTTCTTTACTCAGCATTATTTTGTTTTTTCTTTTTGTCTCCCAAGTATTCTGCTATAAAAAACATCTCTTACACTGTATTTTAATATATATAAATAATTTAAACAAGAAATTTTAAACAAATCAGCACAAAAATTATTTACGAAAGAGAGGGAGAGAGAGAGAAAAGAATACTGAATCAGATGAAAATTGCTAGGCAAAAATGAAAGATAAAGTAAATGAAAAAAATAAAGAAACATTCCCAACTAAACTGACTATTTCACCGATTAAGTTTTAAAAAATAATAAGTAAATTCTTTTTCATTTTTAATTAAATAGTTATTTTAGAAAAAAAAAGAAACTGGCAAGTTAACGATTATTATCTGTTATTCCAACCTTCTAATTATATCTTTTAATGAGCAAAGAACATATTCCTTATTATTACATACTTCTCCATCACGATTGAACAAAACGGCTCTTACACCTGCCTTTCTTGCACCATTGAAATCTTTCTCTTCGTCATCACCCACATGAAGCATTTCCTCCATTTCACTAATTTGAAAGTATTTCGCAGCTTTTTCAAAAATTTCCTTATTTGGCTTTTCCACACCTATTTCTCCGCTTAAAAACATTACTTCGAAATAGGATGACAGCTTTAAGCCTTCCAGAATATTCCTAAGACGTTTATCAAAATTTGATATTATACCTAATCGAATTTTTCGATCCTGCAACTCCTTCAAATGATCGTGAACCTGTAAAAACAAATTTCTATAAAAATATGCATATTTTCTTATTTCACATCAATCTGCTGTCAACTTAGAAATTTCAAATTAAGTTAAATGGTTCCGAAATTGATAAGAAATCGTCCACCACTCTGAGTGTTATCAATATCATAATTGAAGAAAAAGATGTACTGCATTCAATGAAATGTATTGAATGCAATATGATTTACACCACGCTTTTCTAAAAGAAATCTTTACAATGTCAGCAATCGAACGTTTCATTCCATTCTAACATTCTACTAAACTACGTGAGCAGTTTCTACCTCAGAATAATACCATAAAAAAACTTATTCAAGAGATGATAACAAGACATTCTAGAAATACTATTATCTTTCATCTGGTAACTTTTTTCTTGCCAATTAAATACCTGTATCCAAACGTTATAAATAAAAAATTAATCGATACCTGACTGTCAATTAATCTCCATGGTTCCACAGAACCGTAATAAGCAAAAAGCATATGTGCCAATTTATCTATCTCAGAACTTCTTTCACCAATCTGCAAAAAAAAAAATTCAAACTTTCGTAAAATATACTTAAATATTTCAAAGATATATGTAGAACTTATTAAACAGTTACAGCTCTACTCTGATGTTGGAATTCAGAAAAAAAAACAGCACAAATGATGGAAAGGAAATTTTCTTAAACTAAGAAGATATAGTGTTACAGTTAAAGTTTCGCCGATGGTTTCAAATAACATTCCAAATAATGTCTTACGAGGATCAGAGCAATTTTAGAAATAACGAGGATCAGAGCAATTTTGGAAATACTTTTCATCCCATGAATGTTCTAACTGATGATATGATCATGCTTATCAATAAAAAATAAATTTATCAGAAAAAAATATTACAATGATAGAAAATTTTAGCTAACATCTGCGAAGCAATTCTTTACCAGCTCAATCCACCATGCGACTTCACCATCTTTTCTAAATCCATAACATAATTTCCGTCTTGATAAACTTTTAAAATTTCGTCGAAATGCTTCATCTAATTCATCGGCATTGCACTGAATATTGATATGTTTTGCAAAAGCAGCATATGTATGCCCTGGTGATTGCTCTAAACTATAATATGATTAAGTGTTTGTTTTGCTAAACTAATGAAAGAAAAGAAGCTATTATTAGGAAGAAAATCATATTTCTTCCGATCTGTGATCCGGAAAGTTTAAGCAACAATCACTTGTAATAACTAATTACTGAAAATATAGACAATAATAATATTGATTATCCTAAAATTTCATGATTAATTAACTAATGCCTTCCTTAAAAAGTCCTGTAAATAAGAGTTTCTTATATAATGTAGCTGTCGAATTGACATTTAGATATGTGTAAGAATGCATCAGATTTTTTTTATGAAAATGATAACATTTATAGTAAAAATGATAACATTCATATATAAAAATTAAATCTCTTATATTTAGCATTTAAAAATGATAACATTCATATATAAAAATTAAATCTCTTATATTTCACACTTACCGAATTAACGTATTTAGCGCATCCAACGTTATAACACGAAGTTTTTTACCCTGGAACATTGGAGCATTTGATGAGCTGAACTGTTGAAAGCTTTCCAGAAAATATAATCTAGCTTTTAACATCTTTTAAGTATTTTCCATACACTGAAACAATCATTTATCCATGTTTTCCTGCTT